ACTGTCTTTTGCAAGTCAATTTTGTCCTCTGAGATTTTGTCAAAGTACTTTGTCAGTGCCAGGAGTTTTTTTGACAGATTCCCTTCGGTTTTCCAGGTGTAGGCTCATATCATCTGCAAAGAGAGATGGCCGACTTTTCCTATTTGGATTCTTCTGATTTTCTTCTCTTGTCTGATTGCTTTAGCTAGGACTTCCAACACTGTGTTGAACAGGAGGGGTGAGAGTGGGCAGCCTTGTCCTATTCTGGTTTTCAGGAGAAATACTTCCAATTTCTGTTCATTTAGTAATATGGTGGCTGTGGGTTTATTGTAGATGGCTCTTTCTATTTTAAGGTGTTCAAGAGTTTTTATCAAGAATGGATCCTGAACTTTGTCAAAAGCCCTAGTTTTTGCTTGTTTAGGAGAAATTTTGTTTCTCCTTCATTTAAAAAAAATTATAACATTTTATTTCTAAATAATTTCAGATTTAGAGAAACATTGCAAAGTATTACAAAGTTTTCTGTTCCTCCCTTCATTCAGATTGTCTAAATGTTAACATTCTACCACATTGGCTTTAGCATTCGCTCTGTGTATTTATAGATTTTTTTCTAAACTAATGGAGAAAAAGTAGTAGACAAAATATTTCTCTTTATTTTGAGTTGGAATCTCACTCTGTTGCTCAAGCTGGAGTGCAGTGGCACTTCCAAGTAGCTGGAGCTACAGGCACATGCTATCACGCCCAGCTAATTTTTGATTTATTGTAGAGACGAGATCTTGCCAAGTTACCTGGACTAGTCTTGAACCCATGAGCTCAGGCAATCCATTTGCCCTGGCCTTCCAAAGAGCTGCGATTACAGGCTGACCCACTGAGCCCCGCCAATATTTCTTTATTTCTAAACATCCCAATGTGCTGTTTTCTTTCTTTTTTTTAATATGAGAATTTTATAATTTTTTTATTTTCAGTATGTGGGGTAGGATTAGGTATTCAAGATTAGGTATACAAATGTGCATTGTGCATGTACCCTTGTTGATGAGGTGTGGTCTCCCCTCCCCTGGCAGTTTACCACTACTGCCAATCCCCTTCTTATAGTATTATGATAGCTGTTCAAGGTCCATTTATGAGTGAGAACATGTGATACTCAGTTCTTTGTTTCTGTGATAGATCACTCAATATTATAGCCTCTGGGTTCATCCAAGTTGCTGCAGAGTTCATTTTTTTTCCTTCTTTATGGTTGTGTAATAGTCCATCATGAAGGATAGTTTTTCCAGGTATAGCATTCTTCGCTGGAAGGTTTTTTTCATTTAACATTTGAATAAATCATCCCTTTCTCTCCTTTCAGCCTGTAAAGTTTCTGCTGAAAAATCCACTGTTAGTCTGAGGATTCTCTTGTATGTGACCTGACACTATTTTCTTGTTGTTTTTGGAATTCTCTCTTTGTATTTGACTTTTGGTCCTTGATTATGGGTGTGTCTTAAAGAAAACTTTTTGTGTTGAATCTATTTGGGAATCTTTGAGCTTCCTATAGCTGCTTGTCTATATCTTTTGCAAGACTTAGGATGTTTTAAACTATCATTTTATTGAGTGGATTTTCTATCTTCACATTCAGAAAGTCTTTCTGCTGCTTGATATTGTCTCTTTTGAAGCTCTTAATTGTATGTTTGATTATTTTCCCTTTTCTACTTTGTGAGGTGATTTATTTTATTTTATTCATTGCTTTCTTCAGTTCCAGGTTTTCTATTAGTTGTATTTTTTATCCTATCTCTTTAATAAATTTCTCATTCAGATCATGGATTCCATTTCTGATTTCTTTATATTGTTTATCTCCATTCTCTTGTATGTTGCTGAGCAAGATATTGCTTAAAAATATTGTTATCATGAATTCTTTTCAGGCATTCATATCTTTCTTTTTCAATTAAATCTGTTGTTGGGCAACTATCATGCTTATTTTGAGATGTCATGTTTCTTTGCCTTTGTATGTCTCTTGTGTCTTTGTGTTGATTTCTGCACATCTGATGCAACAGTGGCTTTTTCTAATTTTGTGGATTGGCTTTCATAAGGAGAGACTATTTCCAATAGATGTCCCTGTAGCGTTAGTGCTGTAGAATGCTTTGGCTTTCACTCTGAGTGTGTGCGTCACTGTCATCTCCACACAAATTTTTCAGTGGCCATCAGTGCCAGTGGTGTCTGTGAGTTCCTCAGTGGCCCAGGATATAGAACAAGGGAATTAAAGACACTAGAGACCGCTTTTAGCCTAACAGACTTAAGTAAGTCTAAGGCATTTTGCTGAGTGAGAAAATGAGTAAGACAGAAACTGGACTTACACTTCAGGTTCCAGTTCAACATGGGAAAGATTAAGAAATGCCTCCTCTACACACAGGACGCAGCAAACTGCAATGCTTGCTCAGAGTTTTCACTTCTGAAACTTAAAAACAAATCTTCCTATTTCTAAGTATCAGTTGTGATGTTTTTCACTATGCGGAAGAAGCCGCCAGAAATGTGGCTCCACTGAAGAGTTGATCAGGGAAAGGTGAAGAGGAGATTACTGCTTTTTCAGAGGATAAACGATTATGAAATTTTAGGTGGCAATTAGGAAAAGCAAGTCCCAGCTGGGAGAGTCAGAATTTGAGAAACAAGCCTCGGATCTATGGGAAAGGAAACCTGGGCCAGAGAGCAGCCTGTGTGAAGCCTGCACTGCTGGCCTTTTGGATGTGAGCGCATGACTTTCTGTGCAGGGTCCAGGCCCCAGGTGGTACATGAGGTCATGTGAGCCACAAAGGCTCAGCCCAAATTAATGGTTCGTGTGGCACATGTTACATTCTAAGTTAAACTTTTAATAATTTTGTCAAATCATCCCATTTTTAGTGATTTTTTAAAGTGATTTTTTTTAAAAAAAAAAACAAAACTCATTTTTAGGTTAGAAGTTGATAGACAGCCACTGTCTTGTCTCAGTTATATCCCCACTTCTCGCTCAAACTCACCCGCAGCATGTTGTCTTTGAAGACAAAAAAAAAATAAATAAAACAGAACTCTCTTGTTCTGTCTCTCAAATCTGTAAAAGGTGTCAAAGGGAGCAGAAGCTGAGATAAAGTTGTGGAAATACCTGCAGAGAATTTAACAGTTCTTGCGAGAATTCAAGTAAGTACAAATCACCTGATGGTGAATACTTAGACGGCCTGATAAGCCCACATTTCAAAGCTGTCCAGGAAAAAGAAAGAAAAGGCTATTCATGAGCTCATGCTACAACTAGGAGAGTTTGAATCAGTTGCATGAACCTCATGAGCCGAGGCCCCCATTTCTGTTTCTCTCTCTCTCTCTGTCTCTGAGTTGGCACCTCCCTCTGTCACCCAGGCTGGAGTGCAGCAGCACACTCATGGCCACCCTAGCATCGACCTGCGGGCTCTGGCAATCCTTCTGTCTCAGCCTTCCAAGTAGCCAGAACTACAGATGTGCGCTACCATGCGTGGCTAATTTTTGATTCATTGTAGAGACAAGGTCTTTCCAAGTTCCCGGGTCTGATCTCGAACCTGCAGGCTCAGGCCATCCACTCACCTCAGCCTTCCAAAGTGCTGGGATGACAGGCTGAGCCACTGAGCCTGGACTTCTCTCTTGATGCTGAGTACAACTGTTCCTTTATGGGATTCTACATCAGGCACGAGGAAGATACTCTTTACGCTACTCACAAAGTCAGAACCTCAAGTTCTGAACACTGAGCACTTGTCTGATAGAGATCTGGGGTGTTCTACTGAGGCAAACCCGAGGTGCACGAGATTTAGCAAATGACCTGGCTGTCCTCTGAACAGGGCTTACACACTGTTTCTGAAAGTGTAAAACCATGGAACTTTCTTCTGAGGAGCATTTTTACCAATGAAATCAAATTAGTGCTTGCAGAAGATATACGGGCAGCCAACCGACACATAAAAAAGTGCTCAGTCTCACTCATCATCAGAGAAATGCAAATCAAAACCACATTGAGATACCACCTAACCCCAGTAAGAATGGCCATCATTAATAAAATAAACAACATCAGATGCTGGCGAGGATGTGGAGAAAAAGGAATGCTTCTACACTGCTGGTGGGAATGCAAACTTGTACAACCTCTCTGGAAAACTGTTTGGAGATTTCTGAAAGAACTAGAAATTGACCTTCTATATGACCCAGCAATTCCTCTATTGGGAATATACCTGGAGGAACTCAAATCATTCTACAAAAAAGATATCTGCACACGTATGTTTCTTGCAGCTCTATTCATGATAGCAAAAACATGGAGCCAACCATGTTGCCCATCAAAACTGGACTGGATAAAAAAATGTGGTACAAGTTGGGCTCAATGGCTCAGCCTATAATCCTGCACTTTGGGAGGCTGAGGTGAGTGGATTGCCTGAGCCCGGGGGTTCGAGACCTGCCTGGGCAACTTGGCGAAATCTCATATCTACAATAAATAAAAAAAATTAGCCTGGCATGGTAGCGCCCACCTGTAGTTCCAGCTACTTGGAAGGCTGAGGCGGAAGGCTCGCCAGAGTCCAGCAGGTCGAGGTTATGGTGGCTGGGAGTGGCCACTGTACTCCAGTCTGGGCAACGAGTGAGACTCCAACTCAAAGAAAATGTGGTATATATACACAATGGAATATTATGAAGCCATAAAGAGGGACAAATATATGGACTTTGCAGCAACTTGGATGGATTTGGAGTCAATCATACTCAGTGATCTCTCCCGGAAACAAAGAACAGAGCAAGTACCATATGTTCTCACTCATAAATGGACCTTGACCAATTATAATACTATAAGAAAGCATTTCGCAGTAATGGGAAACTGTCAGGGGAGGGGGCTGGGATTGGCAGTTGAGGGTAACTGCTAGGGGAGGGTGGGGTATACCTCATCAACAAGGGTACCTGCATAATCAGCATTTTTATACCTAACTGAATTGTACCTCACATCTTTATAATAAAAATTTTTTTTTTTAAAAAACCACACATTGGTACTTGCAGTCTTCAGAAGAAAGGAGGGAGCTCAAATGACTCACCTGGCGGTAGGTCAAGAGGGTTTCCAAGAAAGGCAGAGGTGTGGGCCCAGGAATGCCAAGCTTCTTAAAAAGTCCGTGTGAATGGGTTCCATATCTACAAAATGGAAGAGAAACCAGGTTGCAGGAGGTGTGATTTTATAGACACGGGGACTGGCCAGTCACTGACTCACCGTCAGGAAAGTGAGACAACACGTCAGCAATAAATAACCACAGCGACAACAACAACAATAATTACATTTGCTCTTCATCTTTTTCTCTTCTTCCAATGTGAAATGCCAAAAGGTCACAATGCTGAACTAAAAGCAGCTAAAGTCCTCATGGTCCCAGTCCTAGAGTGAATATTTGATAAATGTTCTCAAACTTCGCTGTTCTGAAGAGGTTTTAGGCTGAAATTCTTCCAGGGCATTGCATTTGCTTGTATTGATTTAGTAAGTTAACTCTTCCATGACTGGGAAATTCCCATTCTAGGTGAAAATGACAAAATTCTTTTCTTCTGCACTGAGGATGAGATTTTTGTATCACTGCAACCACTTGATTAGAGAGGGTCACTGAAAGGTTCTGGTGACACACTCCTCACAATACACTCAGAAGCCTTTTTGCTTTTTCTTCCCTCTAAGCTTTGACTTTGTTTGAAAACTCTGCACTAACTCAATATGCCTTACAAAGAAGCCTCGGAGGAGTCAGTGTTCTTATTGCTATAGCTTGTCAACCACATTCAAGGTTTCCACTCCCTTGTAGAAATGTGAGCACCTTTCTTTTTTTAAAACTTTTATTATAAAGATGTGGGGTACATTTCAGGGTTAGGTATATAAACATTGATCATGCAGGTGTCCTTGTTGATGAGGTGTGCCCCTTCTTCCCCTAGCAGTTTCCCTCAACTGCCAATCCCACCCCTGCCAACAGTTTCCCACTACTGCCAATTGCTTTCTTATAGCATTGTAATTGTTCAAGGTCAGCTTATGAGTGAGAACATATGGAACTCAGTCCTATGTTTCTGTGATAAATCGCTGAGTATGGAAATTGGAACTGGGAACCAATTCTTATTCAGAACCCTAAAGGCCAATATCTTAAGAAATAAATAGACAAGCGGGACCTCATCAAGCTGACGAGCTTCTGCAAAGCAAAAGAAACCATGAAGAGAGCAGGGAGACAGCACACAGAATGGGAAAAAATACTTGCCAACTGTATATCCGACAAAGGCCTAACATCTAGGATCTACAAGGAACTCAAACGTGCTGAAAGGAAAAAAACAAACAGCCCCATTAAAAAGTGAGCAAAAGACACGAATAGACACTTCTCAAAAGAAGATATATGGGCAACCAACAGACACGAGCTGGTCCTGCAGTATGATCAGTTGATAGTTCTGATCAGTACATATTTTGTTCTGAACATGTTAAACTCTTGAGAGAGTTTGTCTTAAGAAATCTAATCACTAAGGGCTTTTGCTCTCTCAACACTTGTTGCCTAGTTAGTTGGGGAAGTCCAATCCCAAGAGAACCCACCCTGTGTTATAGATTAAAGGGTTTGTTATTGGCAGCACCCCACAAACTTTTGGGTTCCTGGAGCCAAGGTATGCACAAACACTATCCTTAACTGGCTGTGATAATAAGAGTCTTCTGCAATGTTATCCTAAACCCGGGACCAAGGTTTTTTGTTTTGTTTTGTTTTGTTTTTAGGGAGGCAGAGGAAATTTTGGGGAATTGCCCCTTCAATGCCCTTTGCAGGAAACATTTCTTTTGTTCTTTTTCTTTTCTTTTCTTTTTTGAGTTGAAGTCTCATTGCATCACCCACGCTGGAGTGCAGTGGCATGCTCACAGTCACCGCAGCCTCGACTTGCTGGGCTCCAGTGATCTTTCCACCTCAGCCTTCCAAGTAGCTGGAACTACGGGCCCATGCTACCATGCCGGGCTAATTTTTTATTTATTGTAGAGATGAGTCTCACCAAGTTGCCTGGGATGGTCTTGAAATCTGTGGGCTCAGGCAATCCACTCGCCTCAGCCTCCCAAAGTGCTGGGATGACAGGCTGAGCCACCAAACACAGCCAACATTTCTTTCTTAGCTTGTAAAAACCCATCCAACCCTGAAAAATTATATCCTGGGTTTTCTATGAAGAGACTACTGTATTTGAAATAAGTACTGCTATTGAGATAAGTATGCAATGGAAAATTCTAATTGTCAATGCCCAGAGGAAATAGGCCCTGTAAACTAGACTCCTAAATTTAAAAGAGATTTTAGAGATCTCTCATTCTTTACAATTGCCTTATTTGTATTTATGGAAAGATGGAGTGAAAAAAAGATGGAGTGTCAAGGCTAGCCATGACATAATTATGACATGGCTAGGCTTATTTGTTCTCTTAACAAAGTTAAAGAGCAAAAATATGACCTAAAACAGAATCACAATAGTTTGAATGCCCAGTTGACCTACTTTGGACCCCCTGGAGGATTTGCAAGAAACAAAACAAAACACAATGAACAGAAACACCTACTTGTGAACTAGTGGCTAAGATTCTATCTTTTACGGCTGCTGTTGAGGTTTAGTTACTGGTCAGGGAACCCATCCTATTTGTTTCAAAATATTTGTATGGCTTTTGATCTTTTGGCATACCTGTTTGATGTTGATTCTTTTCCCTTCCATGGAAATCTTTTGATTTCTTGTCTTTTTCTCTCCGTGGGGCATATGGGACTTTTCGGCCATTTGGCATAGACACTCAGCTGAGATGAGGCGATTTTAAATAAATGGCCAGATGGATGTGGGCTGCATCCCATTTGTGACTAGTGAGACTTTCCTTTCTTTGATTTGTCTTTGGAGGTGGCACTATATCTTGGGAAGTCTGCTTCGCACCTCTTTGGATATATACAGTTTATCTGTAGCAAAGTCATAACCTTGATTAAGACATTGCTGTTTGTGAGTAACTTGAAAATGTACATACAGTTTAAAAGAAAGAACAAAGCTTAGATAAAATGTTTATAAAAGATGAGCCCTCAGGTAAAATAGGCTTATTACCTTTGAAGAGCTATCTATGCCAAGACCAGACATGGAAAAATCTTTCTTCGTCCTATTAAAGAGCTCTACTGTGAAGTCAATAATCGAATCAAGAAATAAGCACAATGTGACCTTTTTAGGTCACTTATTTGATTAGATTGGTCTCCAAAGTACTTTCTGGCATTTAGCCAGCTATTTTGAAACTCTTTGTAAAAAAAATTTATGTCTGTAAGTGGAATCTCTATCTGTAAGGGCATCTCCCTCTCTGTACACAAACCACCAGAAAACTTTTACATGAAAAGGACATTGACATAAAATTTACACAACAACCTTTGCCTTTGTTTAAGATGGTTCTGGCAATTGAATCTTGATTGGGCCTTTTTCTTAAGCCCTTCTTTTGGCTCAGCAAATAATCTTATTAAATGTAAGTTTTAGGCTTTCGAGATCCAAATTTTCCACTAACAAGTCATGTCTTTGGAAAAATGAATTTCAAGGCATCTTAGATAAAAATTGTTTAGGGTTTACTAGTCTATAATGAAAACAAAAAGACTATTTTTTAATTTGTGAACTTGTTATTTTGGCATGAATTTACACTCCCAGAATAGGTACAAGAATAGCACAGAGAATTCCCACACATCTTCTCTTCACTAGATTTCCCAACTGTTCATTTTTATTTTTTATTTTACTTCAGGGTTTGGAGTAAAAGTGAGGATTTACCACATTAGTAAGTTGCATGTAGATGAGGTGTGGGCTTCTAGCCGGCCCTTTCTCCCCCTAATAGTGGACGTGGCATCTGGTGTGTGACCACATACTCCCTTCCTCCCTCCGCACCTTACCTAGCAGTGTACAGTGTCTGCCAATTCTACACTTGTGTTCATTTGTGATAGTTCACTTAGGGTGCTGTTCCCCAGCTGCATCTATAAAGGCCATGATCTTGTTCTTCTTTATGGCTGTGTAATATTCCACAGTGTATATTCATAACACTTTCTTTATCCAGTCCGCTTTAGATGGGCCTCTGGGTTGGTTCCTTGTTTATGCTATTGTGACGAGTACTGCAATGAATATACATGTGTAGGTGTCTTTTTGGTAGAGCAGTGTACATCCCTCTGGGTTATAATCCCAGTAGAGGGATTGCTGGATCATATGGAAACTTAATTTTTAGTTCTTTGAGAAATTGCCACACTGCTTTCCACCAAGGTTGAATTAGCTGACATTCCCACCTACAGTGTAGAAGCATTCCCTTTTTTCTGTAGCTGCACCAGCACCTCTTGTTTTTTCACTTTTTAATTATAGTCATTCATACCGGTGTTAGGTGGTGTCTCATTTCAGTTTTGATTTGCATTTCTCTGTTGATTAGTGAGGCTGAGCATTTTGTCATGTGCTTCTTGGCCGCTTGTAGGTCTTCTTTGGAGAAGTGTCTGTGTCCTTTGCCCACTTTTTGATGGGGCTGTATGTTTTATTCCTTGCAATTTGAATTCCTTATAGATCCTGGATGTTAGGCCTTTGTCAGTAACACAGCTTACAAATATATTTCACATTCTGTGGGTTGTCTTTTTACCATCTTGATGGCTTCTTTTCTATGCAAAAACTTTTCAGTTTGATATTGTCCTTTCTGTCAATCTTAGCTTTTGTTGCATTTGATTTTGAGAACTTGGCCATGAATTCATTGACTGCTTGGATGTCCAGGAGGGTGTTACCTACATTTTCTTCTAAGATTCTTATAGTTTGAGGTTTTACATTGAAGTCTTATCCATTTTGAGTTAATTTTTGTGTATGGTGATAGATATGGACACAGTTTTATTCTGCATGTGGCTAGCCAGTTTTTCCAGCACCATTTGCTACATATTATTTCCTTTCCCCAATGTTTTTTTTATTATTATGATGTTGTGGGGTACAGTTAAGGGTTAGGTATACAATTACGTTTCATTCAGGCACCCTGTTGATATGAAGTGTTTCCTCATGCCCAGACAGATATTTGCTACTGTTAATCCCATCTCCCCCCCCAAAGTTTCCCAGTACCGTCAGTCATTTTCTTAGAGTATTGCATTGGATGTTCAAGGTCCATTATATGAGTGAGAACATGTGGTACTCAGATCTTTGTTTCTGTAGGAGGTCACTCAGTATTATGGACTCTAGTCCAGTACCGTCAGTCATTTTCTTAGAGTATTGCATTGGATGTTCAAGGTCCATTATATGAGTGAGAACATGTGGTACTCAGATCTTTGTTTCTGTAGGAGGTCACTCAGTATTATGG